ATACCTTCAATCTGACATAAATGACCTTGTAGATTAGGAAGTTGAAGTTTTATTTATACATCTTATGAATGAATCGCCTTTAACTGTAAATTTATTTCGAAGAAATAATAATTTATTGTTGCTTTTCCGAATCATTGTATGTATATAACTACTATGTTACTAAAGTTTAAATTTCTAGGATTTTATTTGAACTAAAGTATACATGAGGAACATTATGAACGTAACTAGTTTTATAAACATATTTAAATAAATTCGTTATTGCTAGTTATATTAAAAGTAAAAAAACTTTGTCTTGTATAAAAAAAATTTGTTTAAAATGTTATATGAACTTGTATGAATTGTCTCTATTTTATATATCTTTAAATATTTAAAAGATTCATTTGCTATGTATATGTATATATTTACATAAACATAAAATAATAATGCAAATAAACAAAATTTTTATTTTTATTATGGTAAGTAATTTTTTACATCTACTTATTAGATGCGTGAATACATCGTGCAAATTGCTGGTTTGAATGTACTGAAAAAAAGATGCATTTTTAATATCTTTATAATTTGTATAATAAAAATAAAATCTTGTAATTATAATATTTTCACAACTCAACGTCAAACAGGCCTGTTTGCAGACTCAAATCAGTTCGTATAATGTTATTCACGCATTTGTATCATTCGATAATAAGATGTCTAGCCGATAATTTTCTCATAGGGTGAAAAATTGATTCACTTAGTATCATATACATATATATACATATTTTTATTTATCATATACATATAAAACGTTTAATAAACAGAAACATTAACTTGTTTCTAAGAAAAAAAGAAATAAAAGTAAAAAAAAAGAGGACGCAAGAAAATTATGTTAACTTTTATTAAGATTAATTGCAATTCTTATAAAAATAAATTTCAAATTATTTCATAATTACATTATATCAAGCAGGGTCTATTTTTTATATTTAATATTTATTTTTAAGCGAACGCTGGAATAACGCATCCGAACTTGATGTCGATAGTACAAATTTTTTAAATTCCAAATAAAAAGTTAATTGAATAATGACATTTTTAATTCATTTTTTTACATTATCGTTCTCACTCAAATACATCTGTCCTTATCTAACATATTATAACCATCTCTTGCAAAATCAAATACCATACAACATAAAAGTTGCAGCAATATCGTGCAATATTGCTGCAATGTTGCAGCAATATTGCTTTTGTGCAATTTTGTACTGTAGGTTACTGCTAGATATAATTACTGCTTTGTTTATTATTCCGAGTCTTTGCTCAGCATTCGTATACACGTAATTTGCAAATGCTGACATAATTTGCAAATCAATATAAATTTTTCTTTTTAAGATATTTCTTTGAGAAATTGAATTTCTATAGATTTTTTTGAAAGGACTCCGCACTAATCTTATGTAAAATGAATCCCAGTCAAATTGGCTGAAATTTTACTATAATGTATGTAGATCATTATGTCCTGATCAAAGTCATGGGTACAAGGTCCAAAAATGGACAGTTTTTCGAGATATTGGAAATCTAAATTTAAAAAAAGCTAAATTGGAATTTAGCCATATTTCCAATATTTTATATCCAATATCTTGAAAACTGTCCATTTTTGGATATTTTGTGCCTATGAGAACTTTTGATTAGGACATCATGATCTACATTATAGCAAAATTTCGACCAATTCAACTGGGATCCATTTTATATAAAATTAATACGGGGTCCTCTTGATATTATATGTTCAAAATAAATTTTACATGTGATTAAAATTTCAAAGGTCTTAGCCGAAATGGAAATAGATCACTTTCAAAGTTTTAGCTTTTAACACGTAAATTTTTATACTAAGTGTTCTTGTCAAAGTAACGTTTTAATACTTTACGACGAAAATCTACAGATTTTGTAAAAAAAATAAATATACAATGCAGAAATATTATACGAACCTTTAGTGTTATATTAATACTAGAATCTAATTTAGACTATAGTCTAAATTAGGGATGGCAAGTTTAGAGGGGCGGCATTTTTTGAAAAGAAATTCTAAAAAGTAATTATTTTTTTTCCACACGAATGATTGAGAAAATTTTTTAATGATCACCAGAAGTTTGTTCGCGTCGCGCTCCAATGTGTTCCTATTATAGCTCATTTCGATTCGATGTCGATTCCATTGTCATTTCTTACTTACTGCCATGATTAAGGTCTGTTTGCATTGCTTGCATTTTTGGCACTCGACATTTTCGCTTTCTTTCTTTTTAAGGCAAATATGTATTTATCTCAGTTTAAATGCAAAAATATTTGGGGATTTCATGCAACGCGAACAAACAACTTATTAAGACAAGAGTAGGCTCGTTCAATCTATTGGACAGATATAAAAAAAAGAGGGTAAACACGTGACCGTCAACGTTAGTCTCGAATGATTATGTCCTTGTTTAATATTTAGGCTGCTTTAATATTTAGGTCGATTTGGATGTTCACGCGCTTTAAACGCTTGTAATTATCATTTTGTCTTTATCGTTTCATTAGACGTAAAATAAGAATAGAAATATTGAAAAGCGCTGAAAGCGTTCAAATCGATTGCAACTTTAATAAACAACAAGGATGAAACGGCGTTTAAAGCTTTGTGAGTAGAAAGGGGAAAACAGCTGTATATGGTCGTAACTTGTTTCGACTATCACGTGATTACATGCATAAGCATACCTTGTCTTTATATTATGGTTGTCATCATGGCTCGCTAGTCAGTGTCACTGGATCGCTTCGTCGTGCATCATTTTCGTACATCTCTTTATAATATATGTATTTACATTTATATTTTCGATTAGTCTATGCATTTTCGTGCTTTGTATAGTAAATATAATATATTTGAATATATTGAAAACGATTGATAACTTTGTGGGTAAGTGGAAATTTGCTATAATTATATATTTTATTTGTTTTAAAATTATAAATATCTTTCTTATAAGTCATGTATTAGATTACAATGAATAATGTTCGTGAAAAATTAAGTGGGGCGAAGTACAGAAAACTCTTCAAAGAAAAATTGGATCGAGAAAAAAAAATACTTTGGAATTACCGAAGTTTGATTCTTTTTTTTCGTTGAATTTTGTTGCCATTAATTTCTATTCGAAACAACATTTGAAAACTCAAATACCTATTGCAAATAAAGGTAACCTATTCATAGAACCTATCAAATATTATAGACAGGACATAGATATGGGAAAAAGTTCGTGGCGTTTTTTTAAATGCCATCTAATGGGAAAAACCCCCGCCACGAACTTTTTCCCACACCTAATATGAAAATCTATTCCGTTATCGCACAATGGTAATATTTCTAATAATTTTTGTATATATTTTAGCTACTTTTTGAAATTAAAATATTTTACAATTTTTTTTTATTACAAAGAAAAGTCAATAAAAATATATAAACCCAACAAAAAATATTTTAAATATCATATAAATTAACATTTCACAAATTAGTTCAATAAATTAAAATGGACTACATAAAAATCGTTTTAAGTTTTAATATTTTTAATGTATTATTATGCATTACTATTATATATTTTAGATAGATTTATATATTTTAGATAGATTATAGATTTTAGAAAAGTTATCAATAAGATGACTTGATATTTGGCATGAGTACTGTTTTTGTATTTTTCAATTTATATAAATGTGTCTCTATTTGCGGTAACGCGAAATTTTTATTTATTACAAGGGAGAGCTCTATTTTGTTTAAATAAGATTAAAAGTTTAATGTCATTACGAAAATTTAATTTCACTATTATTACAGACAGCCCATTTTGCCCAAAGTCCACAACTCTCTTGGAAATTCTGATCCTCCAATTCCAGAACATCATATCCTCTGTGAGAATTCTGAACTTCCATCATCGGCATCATTCTTATCCAGCATATTTCGTTATTAGCTTCATGGATCATGAAAATAATACAGAACGATCTATTAATTGTTATAATTTAAAATGTTTAAATCATTCATTTTCTAAAACGACAAATACTCGATTTGAATCTCAAGTCAGTGATGATCCTGCTGAATGGATCAATAACGAAACTATTGATGTACTTTTACAATGAGGTATTAAGCAGAATATGAATATCGATTTCTCTTTTTCAAAACGCTTAATATCAGGTCAATATCGAAATCTGAATCAGTTGGTATTCACTCGCATCCTTAAAAATGGCGATACTCAACAATGGTCATGGTTGATATATTCAAAAAGTAAATTAGCTGTCTTTTGTGCTCCGTGTTTACTTTTTAAACAATAATTAAGATTTATAAACGGTTATAATACAATTGGCAT